ATATAAATTTTTAACGTAGTAAAATTCATGTTGGCAAATTTTGGATTGGAATACAGATTCCAAATATGGTATAAAGCAATAATATTATTTTTCCATAATTTAGAGTCTACTAATTGATATCTACTGATAAAGTTGAAACCAAATCAAATGTAGCAAATAACCTGTATGTGGAGGATGTCTCTCAGGAAGAATCAGATGCTGGAATGATATGGCACTAGTGAACTCTGACCCTATCCATCTGTCCGATATTGCACGTACATAGTACTGGGTGGGCAGAGGCTCAAAGATTGGAATGGTGAACACTAGCTGCTGCGGCTCTTCTGTCACTACCTAATGATGTCAGGAAAACTATTAGTAATGCTGATATCTGACAGTGCAGCACAAGTTACGTTTGTTATTAATATATACTAGCAAAGAATGGAATGGTCCAAATTCACTATATGGTTTTGTCTATAGGTCATTCTAGAGTATTTCTATTTGTTCCACAGCTAGAATTCGCTTCTTGTATGCTAAAATCCAAATATACATAGTCTGAGGAGCCTTAACTTGCTGTTGTACAAGAAGCACAGAATGACTATGGTTACTAAAAACAGACAAAAGGTGACATTCCTAACTGTTTAAAATTGGTTTCAGTCTCAGTACCACATAGGGAGACCTACCATTTTCTTGTGCATCATAAAATATTCAGAATGGTAAATGTGGTTGGTCTCTGGATCCTCAACCCAAATCCAAAATGGCTCCCCAGTCTTCCCATGGACCTTGTCACTCCATGAGAACTCTGCAGTGATGGTCAGACGCACACGGAGAACCGTGCGGGTGATGGGTTGAATACTGGCGTCCAATCCCAATGTGGGAAACTGAGAGACACATTTCTTCACCACGGGACCCATTCTTTGGTGGTGGATTAAAATACCTGGAAAAAGATATTCAAAATGTGTCAAAAAAATTATCATCAAACATTTTTTGTGCTGACTTGCTTTATTAACTGAATGAGTCATCCTCTAAGTTCTTAATCAAATGTGAATCTGTCAAATTTTATGGTCACCTCCAGTTGCTCAGTGAAGACGGTGAGGATAACATCAAGTTAATGCAACCTCTCTAAATCATCACTTACACACATTTACAAATTCTACAATTAAATGAATAAAAAACAGAGAACCTGTTTTGGACTCAACAGACTTAAAAATTCATATATTGTATGCAAAGTAATTTAACATTCTTTTTTAAAGTTTCTATTTAAAAAAATTAAACTACATATCATTTTTGCCTTTTAAACAATGATTCACGATTTCTAATGATATATAATACTACATGCCAATCTCTTTAGAGTCCATTTCCCTTAATTTATCAATGGGTATCTTCTTGGCTTCCAGTTTATGCAAAATTTCCGGGGTCAAGATGGAAAATTGGCGTAGGGGGTTCTCCCAGCCCCACATTCGTTTGTCTATGGTCTTGCTCATAGCAAGTATACGACCTGCCATAATAGGCCAGCCTTTCCGCAGGACCACTTCAAAGAGAGCCCTCATTATCCTAGCCGCATTCTGAAATTGCACAGTATTCACTTACAGCTAGGAAAAACTTAATGACAGATATCAATAAATGAATTCCATGACCAAGCCATTTTACACCATACAGGTACATTCCAATCTAACAGATTTTTTCTATGTTATTTTTCACCTTAAAATACAAAAAAAAAAGCAGAGGTGGGAGTCAGAATAGTGCAAAAGGTATATAAATCTGTTATGGCAAAGTCTACACAATACTGGTCACTTTGAATGACGCTCACTGGCTGACCTGTGCTACATAGCTCATATCTGACACCAGGGAGAAACTGTCCACGTTCCCTCTGGAGATGTAGGTCTGTAGAAGAATGTTCACTTTGCCGTAGGTATTCTCTGTGCCTCCCGCTGCAGGCAGAGGGCAGGACTCCAAGTGGTGAAAATCCAACTCGTCTAATTCTTCATCACGAACCTAAAAGTTATAAAAACATAATCTCCATTACTGTGCCCAACAATCAAACAAGAACAACCACCACAAGGGTTTGACTATGCTAGGAGGTATTTTTGTTTAGAACTTTTTTCCTTTTATTTTTGCTATGCAATGTCAGAAACACAACCCTTATATTTGACAACACTTATTCTGCAAAGACATAAGAAGTATTTCAATAAGTAAGACTGCTAAATGTGAAAATTCTAGCTATCCAGGAAGTGCTAAGAATAGTTTTAAGTATGTCTCTGTGCAGATTGTCTCAATGTCAAGTTAAATGTGGCAGAGAATCAAAAGTTCTCTGGTTGAAATAAGTGATAGGTTAGGCAATCCACTACATCTATCCTGTACCTTGATTTGCTCAAACTCTTGTGCATTTGACACCAAGGTAAGGACATCAGCCTCTGTCATGATGGCCTTCAACATCTCATTTATAACCTGAAATTGAAGTTTAATGAAGAAAGAAATGCCTGTGTAAATTTCACAGTCTCTTCTGATTTCTGAACTTAATGAATTACTTTAATTAGCAAGTTAATAAAACAAATCATAGATAGAGCTCAGCTCTTCTATTACCCTGTAACAGTCAATATCAGATGCTATGAAGATTTCAAATTCCAGGAAATTTCAATCAAAAAATTAAAATAGGTAGCTTTTACAATATACATATGTAATTGGAAGATTCTCAAAACAAATATATCAAAAAAAAATACATGCACAAATTTGAATCCTTTGCTTGGTTATGTGGCCAAAGTCAGCAACTTCTTTTCCATCATAATCAAAACCAAAAATTCACCATTCTCATCACTATCATTCAAAACCTCTGGGACTTCATTTTGGATCGACTCCCTCTTTCATGACCTCATGATTCTAGTTGTCTCAAATGACACATTATTCCAAGATGATACTATCCTAGCGATGACCACCTGGTCAGCTGCTGTGGGCAGTTTGTCAATGATTCCCTGGTCTTGCTGCATTCACAAAGCTGAGCTCTGCACTCTGTCCGACCATGCTTTTTGAAGGTGTGCCTTGAATGATCTGTTCAAGGGCATATATAACAGCTGGGCCCTAGACAATATCTAGTATATGCAAATGTTTTTCACGCATGCCTATTTAAATGAGAAAACATCCCTACCTCTACAGTGTCATACTTGATGTAGAAGTGACTAGAAGTTCGGCCAAGGTCAGTTGCAAACAAATAACCTGTAGCATCTTCAAACCGGATCATCCTGTTCTTGTCTAACTGCTTGGCTGCATTTACTATCAAATCTCTTCTATGTTTCTCCAAACCAGGGTCATCCTATATATAAACCAATGAGAACATTTAGATTCTGTGCTTGGCTCTTTAAACTGCCTTTTTGGCTTCACCTTGTCATGTAGTATATTAATTTTTTTGTCTGCAGCAATAAATTGATGAATACTACTTAAAAAGAAACAGATTTTCAAGAACAAACAAGTTGTTTTACTACGCCTTGCAACAACATGTGTCCACCACAGATAAAAAAGGGTTGTCATTAGAAACATAAAAACAAGCTCTTACTTCTACTTTCTAATAACAAGCTCTTATTTCTACAACACTACTGTTAACCTGTGCTGCCTTGATAGTAATGCCATAGGCAAGTGGGTTGAATCTCATCCTAACATACAGGTAGGTATAGCTCAGCCATTTCACTGCTTCATCCACATTTGTGACAGTGCCAAGAGAAATCTGTAGTAAAAAATAATTAGAATCTAGATTAACGTGTAGAATTTATGAACAACCAATTAATGGAATAAAAATTAAAAAAATTCCAGCAAGTAACCTATGCAACAAAACATGTTACATGTTTAGACATGTGCCTGTTTACGTAACCCTAAAATACAGTTCTAACAAACAGGAAAGATTTTCAAATACCATGTTTACAAGTTAAATTATATAACCCTACAAAATTAATAACACTGAAGTAAAACTAAATATCAGATGTCAATGTTAATACAACACAATATATTTCAAAAATAAATAAACAAATAAATCAGGTTTTCTTAATGTAAAAATCTCTTCTGATTGGTACTAGTTATGTATGCACAAAGACAATACTGATCAATTTTCATATAATTTAATTTTCTATTACAAGTAATCCATCAACAAAATCAATAACCACTAAAGTGATAACTGCCATATGCCCTTACCTCGGCATTGAGGTTATCTGTCAGGCTTCCAATGAACTGGCTTTCTATGGGGTTTTGTCTCGTCATCAGGGATAGATAGTGAGGCAGCTTATCATGAGCTGTAATGATGGTGCCATGGCCAGACTTGTCATACTGGGGTCGTCCAGCGCGCCCAAATATCTGCATTACATCCAGTATGCCCAGGTCTACAAATGATCCTCTCTTGGCATCATAAATTTGAGTACCCTGGAGACAAAGGGGATTTTTTTTTTTTTACTGTGTGTTCAAACATAATGCATAAACGTCCAGTCACATTCCTTAGCTGATCTTTTGGAGTATAAACATTAAACCGGAGGATGTCTTTAATGACCTTTAAAAAGTGTTTAAACTTGAAGAAATGTTATTATTGGAAGATCATTTCTTCATAATTTCTCCCTACACAAGGCAGTAAGTTGGCATGGTTTTACAACCTATGCACCTGTTTCACAAAACAATAAATGTCTTAGTCTCTGCAAAGAATTACAACCTTCTATGTTAAATCTTACAAGCTGCTAACATTTTTTTACATCTTTCAATAACACAGCAAAGTGTGATTGTCTGAACAGTGGCTTTTTACTGTCAGAGATGAGAATAGCAAATCTAGGCACATTAGCTACATTCTTAGAGGACAATCCCTCATGAATCACACTAATACCAATATCACAAAAGTGACATTACGCAGCTGGCTATCAAATTTTATTATCAGAAATAGGCCTCAAAAGTTTCATTTTTGTGCTACAGTCCCCAGTTTTTAAGACACCTACCTTGATGACCACAGCATGAGCAGGTAAGTTGACACCCCAGGCCAGTGTTGCCGTGCACACCAGCACTCTCATGTGACCTGCTGCGAAGTACTTCTCCACCAAGTTTCGATCTTGGCGCAACATCCCTGCGTGGTGAATGCCAAAACCATCAGGAAATAGTTCTTTTAACTGTTTGTTTCTTGATTTTGATATCTGGAGTAAAAAAACAGATATTTAGTAGAAGTGTAAATAAATTTTATCTGCACCCTCCAAAGTTTGTCAAAGTTGAAGTTATGAAATAACTAGTTCAACTTCGTCTCAGACTCCAAAAAAGCACTTCAGATTAAAAGTTGGTTAGGTCTCAACTTCAGACAAATATTTTTGGTTTACTTCAGTAAATGATAAACACACAGAAGTCCACCAAAAAAAAACTGGTCTATTTAAAACAGATTGTCATTAAAAAAGACTGATTCATCACTCTTTACACTCAATTTCATACTGCAAGACATATCATACTGTCGTAACTACTGTCGTTAAACCAGTGGCTTTCCGAACTCACTGCTTTCAAGGCATCTCCAAAGGCTGGCCCTGTCTCGGGCTCAAAGAAGCCAGCTTCTCCATTGTTCTTTGAGATCTCTCTCAGACACATAGCTGTGCGCACAGTCTCATTCCTGGCATGGACAAACACCATCACCTAAAAGGGGCAATAAAAAAGGTCAAGGCTGTAAACAAGGTATGGGATTCCACAATAGATTTTATGTAAGTCATTCCTATGAGCCAACAGTGCCCCAAAACAGACATTGTTGCTGTAAAGTATCCTAGATGCATTCGGGGAGCCAAGAAGATACAAAAAAGATGTAGGATCTAATTGACAAAGTGGAAGAAAAAACACATCAGCTAGAATGGAATCCAATGTTGTGGCAGCTGCTTCAGGTAAATTTCTACCTATGGAAACAATAAACAAAGTAGATAACAAAGTGCTTAACAATGAAAAATTTTGAGAAAACTTTTTAAGAAACAAAGATATTTCTGAAATAACTTTCTACCTATTAATTCAGTTTATAAAAGAAATAAAAGTACCTGATGTCCCTTCCTGACCATCTCCAGTGCCTTATCATAGCACACTTGGTTCATGTCCTGCAGCTGTTGCATGCGGTTGGTGCTTTTTATACCTGGAAAATAATGGTACCAAGTCAGAAGAAGCTGAAGGTATTAAAGGATAGGTTATCCAATGGGGGTATCAGCAATAGATGCATTTTCAAATGGCTAAAGTCAGTTTCATATGTTTATATATCTCCTCCAATACAAGTAATACAATATCACATTGATTTGAAGAAAATAAACCACATACACATTATAAAGGATTGATACTTGGCTTGTGCTCTTTGTAATCATAATTATCTGTAGTTTTTTTTTTTTTTTTTTTTGGNTACCTTTTGCCAGACATTACCAGACGTTGCCAGATCTGGGCCAGACGTGGGCCAGATCACTGAGGCTGTCTGGGTATACAGTCCCCAGTTTTAAAGAAACCTCCTACCTTGATGACCACAGCATGAGCAGGTAAGTTGACACCCCAGGCCAGTGTTGCTGTGCACACCAGCACTCTCATGTGACCTGCTGCGAAGTACTTCTCCACCAAGTTTCGATCTTGGCGCAACATCCCTGCATGGTGAATGCCAAAGCCATCAGGAAATAGTTCTTTTAACTGTTTGTTTCTGGATTTTGATATCTGGAGAAAAAAATAGATATTTAGTAGAAGTGTAAATAAATTTTATCTGCACCCGCCAAAGTTTGTCAAAGTTGAAGTTATGAAATTACTAGTTCAACTTTGTCTCAGATTCCAAAAAAGCACTTCAGATTAAAAGTTGGTTAGGTCTCAACTTCAGACAAATATTTTTAGTTTACTTCAGTAAATGATAAACACAAAGAAGTCCACCCAAAAAAAAAAGGTCTATTTAAAACAGATTAATTATGTAATTAAAAAAGACTGATTCATCACTCTTTACACTCAATTTCATACTGCAAGACATATCATACTGTAGTAACTACTGTCGTTAAAACAGTGGCTTTCCGAACTCACTGCTTTCAAGGCATCTCCAAAGGCTGGCCCTGACTCGGGCTCAAAGAAGCCAGCTTCTCCATTGTTCTTTGAGATCTCTCTCAGACACATAGCTGTGCGCACAGTCTCATTCCTGGCATGGACAAACACCATCACCTAAAAGGGACAATAAAAAAGGTCAAGGCTGTAAACAAGGCATGGGAGTCCACAACAGAATTTATGTAAGTCATTCCTATGAGCCAACAGTGCCCCAAAACAGACAATGTTGCTGTAAAGTATCCTAGATGCATTCGGGGAGCCAAGAAGATACAAAAAAGATGTAGGATCTAATTGACAAAGTGGGAGAAAACACATCAGCTAGAATGGAATCCAATGTTGTGGCAGCTGCTTCAGGTAAATTTCTACCTATGGAAACAATAAACAAAGTAGATAACAAAGTGCTTAACAATGAAAAATTTTGAGAAAACTTTTTAAGAAACAAAGATATTTCTGAAATAACTTTCTACAGGTCTATTAATTCGGTTTATAAAAGAAATAAAAGTACCTGATGTCCCTTCCTGACCATCTCCAGTGCCTTATCATAGCACACTTGGTTCATGTCCTGCAGCTGTTGCATGCGGTTGGTGCTTTTTATACCTGGAAAATAATGGTACCAAGTCAGAAGAAGCTGAAGGTATTAAAGGATAGGTTATCCAATGGGGGTATCAGCAATAGATGCATTTTCAAATGGCTAAAGTCAGTTTCATATGTTTATATATCTCCTCCAATACAAGTAATACAATATCACATTGATTTGAAGAAAATAAACCACATACACATTATAAAGGATTGATACTTGGCTTGTGCTTTTTGTAATCATAATTATCTGTAGTTTTTTTTTTTTTTTTTGCTGTAAACCTACCTATGAATGTTTGACTGAGTGGCACAGGGCGAAATCTCCCATCAAAAAAGAATAGGCTAATGTAGGGGTTGACGTGAAGGAACACAGCCACATCCAGGTAATTGGGCAGTGTAGCAGACAGACCTACTATCCTGATCATGTTCTGAGTGGTCTCAACCTTAATTATCAATAATATTAACATAATTTATCCTGCTCTGATAACTAGAACTGGTGTGAATTCACCGCAATTGTGTTGGATCACATTGTTCACCAAAATAAAAATACGACAATGGGAGAGAGGATGTTTAGTAAAATTTTCGAAGGGGTAAAAGGATGTACAGTAAAGAAAACTAGAGGATCAGAGAGGCGATACCGCCTCCAGATATTGTACCACCAGCTGGAGTAAGCGCATTCGTTTGGACCCCCCCCCCCCCCAAAAAAAAGGGACACCACCACCAGTCTTGTGCTTGACAAGCTCTATAAAATACAATCAACAAGAGTTCTCAAAATATGCAAAAAAAAAAAAAAAAATTAAAAATGGTACAATCAAGCAGATTTTCAAATTGACTTGCATTTTCCTACCATTGATCACTCCTGCGATTCTCTAGAAATGTGTTGTCAGTGGTGCATATATGCTGACAAAAGAGAAAACCTAGGGGCAACAACGGGCATATCTCTGCTAGTTTTGAAGATATGAGGGGCAAGAAAATATGCAAAGCTCAGTTCATGGTGAAAAAGTAGGTCAAAGGTGAAAAAGTAGGTCAATTTCAATATCATAGTATATGAATTTCTATTCAAGTTCAATAGTAATCATGGGCATTTCTTTGCCAATTTTGCAGATTTAAAGGCCAGAAAACATGCAAAAAGCAGTTCATCATAAAAAAGTAGGTTGAAGATGAATTTCAAGGTCACAGATTGCCAGTGTACGCCTACGCTGGTGGTACAATAAACCTTTTAGAAAAAAAAACAGTGACAAACTTTGAATGTAAAAATGGATTCATTAACCATTGGTAAGCACGGGTAAATTGTTGTTTACTCCAGGAAAATTTTTTTTTTTTTTTTTTTTTGCCAAAACGAAGAGTTATTATCCCTTTAAGCTTCCAAAAACCAAAAATCCCTGCCACCCCCCCCCTAAAAAAATGAAGATAAGATTAATTGTTGATTTACACCCAAAAGACAGTAAACATCACAGAAAGGGCTGACTTAACATATTAAGTACTAATATAAATCTATACATAAGGTATACATGTATATGTTTTTCTATTCATTTGTACATAGCAAAAGAGATATTTATGAAGGTAACCCCTTTTACTAAGTTTACATGACTGTGCATTTGCTGTGTCACTTTTGAAATATTCAAAGACTTGCTGGCATATAATACAACACCCAATGAAAATCAAGTTTTCTAGTTTATCTATTTATCATTTTTGCCTTTTTTTTCCAAACAAAACCAGAGCTGCTGTCATGCTAAAAGCTAGCTAAGAATAGGACGTTGCATCAGCACACAAGATATTTTCCATTTCTGCAGCTAGATTACCATTTTTTGCTGACATGGCAAAAAGGTACATAATAGTGGCACTTGTCGCTATCATAGTGGTGGTTCTACTCTACTTAAAACAAACAAAAATAAAAGGAGTTGCCATAAAGAATCTGTTTTCTGGAACACCAAAGACTGGAATAATTTCTGCAAGAACACAGAGGTTCCCGGCCATCATTTCTACCCTGGTGAGTGAAAAGGAATGGGAAAAAATCCATTGTGTCTCTCTCAAGGTGCATCCAAATATATCCACTCCTATTTGTATTTTCAATATGACAGAAGGGGATCCCCTTTCAAATATGCTGTCTAGAGGAATATTTTGGCAACCACAACTAGTCAAAGAAATGATAAAGATTTTAAAGGGAGACCCAGAACTCCAACTGATTGACTTGGGTGCTAACCTTGGAACCTGGACTATTTCAGCAGCATGACTTGGACGAAAAGTTCTGGCAGCAGAAATGTTTCCTCCAACTTTCATCCATTTATATAAAAGCATTCAACTGGGAAACCTACAAGACTTAGTGACATTAGTTCCAAAGCCTTTGTCAGATATAAAAGAAAATGTTACCATTTATCTCTGTGGAAACAACAAAATGGCCACCAACATTGTCAAAAATGCTAAAGTGATGTCAAGATGTGGCTTGGCCTCCCCCTATGTTGCAAGTACAATAACTATGGATGACCTTACTGCCTATTTGCCAAATGGATTCAAAAAAGCTTTCATGAAAATAGACATTGAGGAAATGGAATTAAGAGTTTTTAACAGATCAGAACATTTCCTGAAAACTGTGGACGTTCCTATTATTTTAATGGAATGGATGCACCACAGAAGGTCTATTCGGAAACCAAAATGCAGCTACTTTATATCCTACATGAGTCACATGGGTTATATTCCCTTCAGACACCTGGCTGGACCAGATGGTAAGTTGGGTCCACTGCTGGATGACAAATACTGGCTTCAAGTAGGAGACCTGTACTTGATCAAGAAGACGTACTTGGAATCAAATTTTGCACACCTTCAGTAAAAACTGAAAACACAACAGCTGAAGAATTTCATGTGGAGTAATGTGATTCATTAGAGCATTGATGTGTTCAAGTTCAAAGAAAGCTAAAAGAAAGCACTGCTTAAATAGATCAGAGATTTTAGTTTTTTTTATTATTATTATTCTGGACTCGGGGATTCTCTTTACTAATTAACATAAGCTTCTAACAATCAATAATTACGAAACAAAAATGAAGATAAGATTACTTTTACAATTTTCATTTAATCTTACTTTTACAATTTTCATTTAATCACTAAGAAAAGCTTTCTGACTTGGTCCCAACTTGATTCACATGATTGCATTTCTAGGAATTATTCACAAATATTCTTTGTGGAAATATGGATGGGTTTATTGAAAATTAAGTAATATGATAACCATTTACATAGAGGTAGAGATATTTTCATCATTATTATTAACTTACTGGGGTTTGTTCATTAATGTTTTAGCAAGGGTCAGAAGATTGGCCAATTCAAAGGTATATGCTTGTTTTATCTTTTTATCTGAAGTAAATGTACAAATCATTTCTCATGTGCTCATTTCTCATACTGTCGCAGACAGTTGTCTTCAATAAACATGTTAAGATGTCCACGCGTTAGAACCTCATCCAAAACTTGAATGCCCCTTTGTTGAAAAAAAATAATAAATAAATAAATAAATAATTATACTCGAGGATCAGAGAGGCGATACCGCCTCCAAATGATGTACCACCAGCTGGAGTAAGTGAGATCGTATAGACCCCCACACACACAAAAAAGGGACACCACCACCAGTCTTGTGCTTGACAAGCTGTAAAAAATGCAATCAACAAGAATTCTCAAAATATGCAAAAAAATATATATAACTAAAAATGGTACAATCAAAGTTCAGTTCATAGTAAGGTAGGTCAAAGGTCAATTTCAAGGTCACAGTAAATTTCCAGTATATGACTTCCTATTCAAGTTCAAAAGTAACTATGGACCTGTCTCTGCCAGTTTTGGAGATAAAAGGGAACCAAAATTTGTAAACTTCAATTCATGATAAAAAGTAGGTCAAAGGTCAATTTCAAGGTCACACT